GAGGAGCTGAAAAGATTTGTGAAAGGCTTAAAACAGATGTTTAAAGAGGATAATTTAAAAACCACAATCTTTAACAGCAACACTATATATGCAGTTTTACAAATGAAAGAAATATGCATGTCTACTTTCTGGTAATTTTTCACTGTTTACTTGATAAAGAAATGGAAACCTATGTTATTTGCATCCTCAAGGTTATGAAAAGGCTGAGATGTTAAAATCAAGTGATGTTAAATCGCTTTAAAATGCTTAAAAGATTAGCAAAAGCCTTAGCTTTTATGTGCCCCTTGAAAGTGAATTTATTGCATTGTAACCTTACAATAAAAAAGAAAAAGAAAAAAAAAAAGGGGGGGGAACATGTCAGTTTCAATTGGATGCTGGATTTTTGCATGACCATACAGTTAATAAACATACATTAAAAAAAAGTGTGGTTTTTTTTATTCAAAGCTTTACTGTTAATGTAAAAGTTTTTGCAATATAAACAATGTTAATATATAACTGGAGAAAACTGTGCCTGCAATGAGATTAAAGCAAGTTACTTACATTGGTTAAAATGTGTTCATTACCCAACCCACTCTAAGGTCTATTGGTAGTTAAAGGTAACATGAAATTACACAGAATATATTGGTTCATCCATTTCTGTACCATCCATCCCTTTATTCAGCCTACATCGCCTCCCATGTGCCTATTAGGGAACAAAGTCCAGTCTTCATGCATATTTTAAAGTTAAATGGGCCCTGGGAGACAAACACAATGTTCTATTTTCAGAGAAAATTAGAGGCTTTTTTTTAATGATCAGTATAAGTAAGAAGGGATCATTTGCAAGCACGCTGCAGAACATTTTAACTACTGCTTGCAGCAGAAAATACGCAACTTGCCTTTAAGAACCATACCTCTAACTCCTGGTCATCCTTCTCCCATCAGTGAGCTTGGATGAGGTTCGATTCCATCGCTGACTTGATGGTTTGAAGCTGGCTGCATGTGAAGACGTTAATATCTCTCCTCTATACAAAGGCAGCCCTTCCTTTCTCGTCATTTTATCCATTAATGGATATTTTATAACAAAGTCTGTTACATAATTATTCCCTTCATGCCAACATCATGATGGTAAAATTTATTGCAGCACTTCAGTACTAGACTGCATTAACTTTTAACTATGCGTATCTACTAAAGTTACAAATTAACATTACACTACACCAGCTATTGCACTGGCTATTTTATACATATTTGGGGTATTTAAATCTGACTGTGTAAAGTTACTCACACACCAATTCTGCTTAAATGTAATAACTCAGAAATCAAGAGTAATTCAGCAGTAAGATAAACAACCAAGTACTGCAAGAACTACATTTGAGTTGCTGTGTTTCACCTTTGAAAAAGGAAAGGACCATAAACAGTAGCTCAAATAGAACTCCAACACGATTCGCACTGCAGCGCTGTTGTATTAGACTACACTCTCATAACAGAGTACCCCGACTATATATACACATGCACACACAAACCACGAGCGCACACAGGTAGTCTTGATGAATTTTAATTACATCAAATGAATTCATGTAAAAGTGGAAAAGGAGGAAAACACTGGGTCTCATCACTGCCAACATGTTCAACACAACAGAAGTCTGCACATGCTCCGTTTGCACTGGGCAGGTCGCAGGTCACCTATACTTCAGACAGATTTATTAAACGCTTCCTTACGGAGTGTCTTTTTAGAATGTAAAGACTGTGCTTTTACAG